TCACAGACTGCTTGCAGAATCACTCCCATACATTTAGTATATGTTCCACATCTTTGAGGCACATTCTAACTATTTATAACTATTTATTCAAATGTATTTATTTCCAGACATACATTAAAATTTACATCTATATATTCAGACCTATAACAATATATTCAGATTTATTCAGATCTATATATTCATAATTTAAATTAATATTTTCAGATTTGTATCTATATATTTACTGTTTATGACTGTTTAATCAATGTGTCTGTGCGTGCATGCGTGCGTGCGGGTGTGCGCGCGCGTCAAAGTGTATTATATGTTTGTCCCACAGTTAATCTCCCATCTAAACGTGCACACGGCCCCCTGGCGTCTCTTTCTCTCGGCAATAACATTAATAATTCACTCCTTTAGAGGGGCTGGTACATAATGGAACTCTATACAGCCATTCTAAAATGGAAAACAGAGGAAAAATAAATCTGCACACTCACTGTTTAGAAGGGATGTTCTGCTCTGAGGTTTTCTATAGCTGGGTTCCTCGCCCAAGGCCCAGTTTGGATAAGAGTCGGATCCATCTGTGATTTGTGGCACTATAGAGCCAATATCTCCAGATTGAATAAAACATGGTAGCAGATCTTCTCCAGAGTTTCTCTCCCCCAATCACTTTTTTGTTTGTGTTATCTCTGCATATATTTTCATTCAGATACCCATATTTTCACCTCGATTTTGACTTCATATGCTTCAAATTTGGGGGGAATTCAGTAAATAGCTCAGTTTTCTCAGGTTCTAAATGTGCTAAAATGTTGCTTTTCTATATAAATTTATATTCATAATTTTATATTGATCATGGAGTTGTTATTCCTTGAATAGCTGGTTGAGAATAACTGATCAAATGATGTAAAAGCATTGTTATCAGGCATATATCCAGACATGCACAAACAGTCTAAAACAACAACGCACTCATATCATTGTATGCTTTCATTTTACTGTTTTAGGCATTATTTCATCGTTCTCTGTGTGGATCTGGTAGCAATCATTGTGTTGGTGTGAATGCTGAATATGTGAATGTTAATAGGCTGAAATTATGGGATGCTACTTATTTGCTACTGCCCTGGTAGACATTGACATGTACTGTATTATGCCATGCTGGTTTATCCAAAGTGGGATTTCTGGTGAGAAAATATAGCTTCTGGCACAATTCTAGCACACAGTATTTGAGAAATAATCTCAGGGATGTTACTATAATTTCTCAGTGATTTGTTAGTGTTTATGTATTTGTATGCGCCTAAACATGCTTGTTTGTTTGTTTGTTTGTTTGTTTGTTTAATCAAAAATGACAGTTTGCTGAAAATGTATTCACCCTCAGGGCATTCAAGATGAGATGTTTCTTCATCTGAACCGTTTTACATTAAATTACTTGCTCACCAATGGGTGCTCTGCAGTGAATGGGTGCCATCAGAATGAGAGTTCAGAATGAGAGAAATAACTGATAAAAGCATCACAATAATCCACAAGTAATCCACACAACTCCAGTCCATCAATGAATGTCTTGTGAAGACAACAAATCAATACTAAAACATTTTAAATTCATATATTTTTTTACTTTTCAGTCGAATTATGCTGATCATATAATTTGGAATTTATCATATTTTTCACTAGTGGTCTCAGATGTTTGAACTCCA